GCCCCCACAGCGCCCGCGCGGGGGGGTGCCGGGTGGCCACAAGTGCGGGCAGCTGCGGTGGTCCATCAGTGCGCCCGAGCCTGCGCTGCTGCCGCCGCCGGCCCCAGCCAAAGAAGGAAGCGGCCGCCACGGCCACCCCTCGGCCCCGGGGTCCCCGCTGCGCCCCGGCACGCTCCCCGCCAGGCACGGCTGATAAACACTAATCTAATATGCATGCTTAATCCGCTGCAACTGTTGCGAGATTAATTGAACCCTGCAAGAGAACATTGTCTGGGCTAAATAAAACCAGGGCCTCATCCCGAGCAAGATGCTATCGGGGCTTGTGCCACAGCCGATGCCGTGCACAGAGGACCGGGAGATGGGAGAGCCAGCGGCAAGGGCCAAACTCCTGAGCGGTCACCACTGTGGTCCCACAGCAACCTCCCGGACGGCTCTGGCACCATGGGAGCATCGCCACGCCAGGGGTTTGAGCCTCCCAGGGCACACCGTAATCCTGCAGATGCCTGCATGTGCATGCTCCAGTTTCCCTTTCCTTGACCCCTTCTTCCACTCCAGCCTCAGGAGAAACCCCAAGACCCAGCAGCATCCCTCCCTGTAAAACAACGGTTTCTTTACAGGGCCTGCCAAAATAAGTGTTATGTTTTGAAAAAACAACTTTTATTTTCATTTTCATGGACATGCCCATCTCTGGGCAAGGCTTTTCCAGGCTTCCCCCATCAATCAGCGGAGCAGGATCCAGCCGCGACAGCAGAGGACGAGCCGCGAGCGTGCACAGAGCGGGACCCGGACTGGGTGGCTGCATCTGTGCAGCCACAGCGCCTTGATCTGCCGGGTGCCCGCACGATCCCTCCTGGACTCGGCATCCCCTGGGCATTGCCCTCCGCCCTGCTCGGCAAAGCATGACCTGCCTTGCCTCTGCCTGCTGGCTCCTGCCTGCAGCAGGCAGGGCCAGCACCTCCCCGTGATGCAGGGCTCTGCGTAGGCAGGACTGGGTGGCTGCATCTGTGCAGCCACAGCGCCTTGATCTGCCGGGTGCCCGCACGATCCCTCCTGGACTCGGCATCCCCTGGGCATTGCCCTCCGCCCTGCTCGGCAAAGCATGACCTGCCTTGCCTCTGCCTGCTGGCTCCTGCCTGCAGCAGGCAGGGCCAGCACCTCCCCGTGATGCAGGGCTCTGCGTAGGCACCGCTGCCATTCCCTCGCCCTTCTTGTCCCCTCCGAGCCCGGGGTTTGCACCGCAGGGCGCTGGCTGGCACGGCACACCAAGCGCGGTGCAGCGAGGCGCTGCAACCAGCCGGTCCAGCGCGCCCCTCCAACCCCCGCTCCCCACCGGCAACGCTGCACCCCCCCACATGCTCGGCCCGAGGCCCCGGCTCTCCACGCAACAGCCGCTGGGCGTGGGGACAAGCCGCAGCAGCTCGGGGACAGCGTGGCAGCTTGCCTGGGTAAGCGCACCTGCACCAGCTGCCTGCGCGGCTCCCAGCGCGGAGGGGCTGTGCCGGTGGATTTGGCTCTGCCGTTGCTTGCAGAGAGGGAGGAGGCTGCAGGCTGCGAGATGTTTGCCCCAGCCTGCATCCCTGGCACAGTCCCTGCCTGCATCCCCATCCCTGCCTGCACCCCTGGCACCATCCACTCCTGCATCCCCATCCCTGCCTGCATCCCTGTTCCCATCCCCACCCCCTCTGTACGCATGCCCATACTGAGGGGAAAACACAGACACGCTCGTTCTGGCACCGACATGGCTTTTCCACAACTTCCCATCGGGAGTAAAGTTTCCACAAAGCTGAGCAAACACCCAGGGAAATGGGGCCTGGCTGTGTTTTTTCTTGTCTTTTCCTTTTTTTTCTCCAAGTCATAAATTTTCCCTGAGGTGTTTGCAACCCAAACACCGCCGCGCGAGCACGGGGATGAGGGACGGTCCCAAAGCCGATGGGATTTCTCAGCGCCCAAGCCCAGAAATGCCCAAAAGAAACAGAGCCCGGGTGCCCATGGGATCCAGCCGCGGCTGCGGCACCAACCCAGGCCCTTTGCAGGATGGGACAAGCTCCATGGTGAGCAAAGGGGGTTTCGGGGGGCACAGTGCAGCCTCCCCAGCAGCACCTCCAAAAAATAACTCCTCCACATGACTCAAACTCTGCTGGAATTTTTTTTTTCCTTTCTTTTTCTTTTTTTTTTTTTTTTCTTTGGGGTAATTTGTCCCAGCCGCTCGGGGCTGTGTCTGTTTTCCTCCATCTGGTTTCCATTAGGCCTGTGCAGCCCAGATGAATAAGTAATAATATAAAAATAAAAGGATTAGTATTTTCTCCTTGGCTGGCGGGAGCAGGCGTCCCCCACCCTGCCTCCCGGGGCCAGCGGATGCCGGACCCTGCGCACCCCTGTGTGACCCCAAGCCCCGCATTTGTCACACCGGAGAGTTTAACCCCCGGCACAAAGCCGCGGGCACGGTCCCCGCTGGGGTGACGCACCAGCGCGGCCGCTACCGGCTGATAAAGCCCGGCTTGCCCGTGGCACCCGGCCCCACGCCGCCCCGGCAGCACCGCAGGGGTCGGGGTTTGTGACCCCACTGAGCACCAGCACCCCCCAAATGGCTCGCCCTGGCTTGCGCATTGCTTTTTCCAGGTGGAAGCTGTGGGAGAGACCCGAGGGGCCTGCTAGCCGGTTCCCTGCCTCCCACCAGAGCCGGGGCAGGGGGTCTGCTCGGCCCTGTGCTCCCCAGCAGGCAGTGCTGGCTGCTGGAAAGTACCGATGCACAGCACCGTGCGGCTGTGCGTGCCGGTGGGCACCAACATGGGGTACTGTGCGGCTCTGCATGCTGGTGGGCACCAATGCACAGCACCATGCAGCTGTGCACACTGGCGGGCACCAACACATGGCATCGTGCAGCCATGCATGCCGACAGGCACCAAAGTGTGGCATTATGTAGCTGTGCATGCCAACAGGCACCAACGCATGGCATCCTGCAGCCACGCACACCAGCAGGGACCAATGCAGAGCACCATGCAGCCATCCACGCCAGCAGGCACTGATGCATGGCATCCTGCAGCCATGCACACCAGCAGGGACCAAGGCAGAGCACCATGCAGCTGTGCATGCCGACAGGCACCACCGCATGGCATCCCGCAGCTGCACATGCTGGCAGGCACCACTGCACAGCACTGCGCAGCCATGCACACCAGTGAGCAGCCCCAGCACCCAGCAGCAAGCAGCCCGGAGCGGAGGGATGGGGCCTGGCAGCCAGCCCAGCCCAGGGCCTGCTGTTTCCCACGGTCCCAGGGAGCCCGGCCGGCTGCTGCAGGCTGTGCCCCAGCCCGGGGTACCCGTCCTCGCCAGGCAGCGAGCAGCCCCTGCTCTCCGCAGCCTTGAGCAGGGCCAGGGAGCCCTCCATCTGGGATGGAGATAGGGATGTGCCAGCCCCGGGGTGAGCCTGATGACTGCGGAGCACCCAGGCTGGCTGCTCTCTTCTCCACCTCCCCAGAAACAGGGACGGAGAAGGCAGGGAGCTGCCCTGGCTGCGGCCGTCGGAAAGCTCCAGCTTCCCACAGCCCTCCTCTCCCAGGCTGGGCGAAGCTTCCAGGGCAAGGAAGGGGTTAAAAGGGAATTAAAAGACCAGCATCTTTCATGCTCTCCAAATGGCCACAAATGAAATCCAGATGCTGGAGGCGACGTCTCCCGAAGCCAGGCTGCCTCCGAAACAAAGGCAAGCATTCCTTTTTTTTTTCCCGCCCCCCCCCCTGCCGCTGCCACGGGGGCCAAGAACAACTCCCCGATAAGATGGCGAGGGACCGAGCCGTCCCAGCTGGAGCGCATTAGGAAGCACGCAGCGCCGGCGGCCAGGCAGCCTCGCCGGCCACGTGCACGAGCCCGGCAGAGGTGGTGGGAGCTGCAGGGCACCGTCATCTCCCTCCCCCCCTGCACCCATCCTGATCCCCTCCCTGGGGACGCGGGCACCAACACATGGCATCGTGCAGCCATGCATGCCGACAGGCACCAACGTGTGGCATTATGTAGCCGTGCATGCCGGTGACAGCAGGCAGCTTGGAGGTGCCTCATCCCCAATTTCACGCGGAGGGGGAGAGAGCGGGACAGCGGCTGCGGGATGCTGGAGGGATGCTGCCCACCCCAGGCAGTTATCCCATTGCCAACGTGTCCCGTCTGCACATTTTGGGGAGCCAGGCTGGGGGGGGCATGATCCAAATGCCAGCACTCATCAGAGCAAACAAAGCCATTTAAAAGGAAATCCAATTAATTAAACCCTCTGCACAACATGTAAATGAACCCAGCTTCAGCCGGCTCCAGGCCCGGTGAGCACTGGCGTGGGGAGCTCCGCCGCAGGTAATGGCTGCTGCGAGGATGACGGGACACAGATGTGCCCGGCGGTGCCAGGGGAGCGCTGGCAGTGGGGCCCAGCCCTGCCAGGCACCTGGGCCCTGCCTGCACTCCTGCCTGCAGGCAGGGATGCTCGCAAGGATGTTCATGCCCCGAGCGGTGCAAGTCTTGCTCTGCCCCGCTCCTCCAGCCAGAGGGATGGTGGCAGCCTGGCCAGCACAGGTGACCGTGCCACGCCAACCAGCCCACGAATTCGGGCATTGCCCCTGCGGTTTAGTTGGGCCGCCTGGCTGAGCGGGACCTGCCATCCTTGCACCGCCGCGGCAGCCCTCTGCACCGGTCGGCGAGCCAGCCTTTGTCCCTGCCATCCTCGCCTTGCCCATGGGCGTCCCGGGATGGGTCCCACACCGCTGGCCCGGGCTGGGACGCTCCCCACGCACCCGATGCCGGGAGTGAGGCGGGTTTCACCGTGCTCAGATGCATCCTGATTTGCTTTGCTTTCCCCGCAGCCCCATCGCGTGAGCAGCCCTTGGCCGCGGTGCCTGCACCAGCGGTGCCAGGCCAGCATCCCGGGGACGTCCGGCGCCGCCAGCGGGATGCGCCACGGGCAACGCTCCTTGCTCGGCTCCAGGGCACTGGCTGCCGGTGGGGACCCAGATGCCTGGTCCCCTTCTATATCCCCCATGCAGTGACGGCATGGCTCCACGTGGGACATCGGCACCCAGGGCCACGCTCACCCACGCACCCCGAGCCGAACAAATCCAATTTCTCAAGCCACAACCAGCCAGCCAGGGACCCAAACCCGCTGCCTCGGCTCGGCCCAAGCAGTGCCAGCCGGTTCCCGCTCGCCCCAAGCCGGCGTGGCCAGGGAGGAGGGAGATGGCTTTGATTTTCCTCAAAACAACAACAAAAAAAGCCAAAAAAAAAAAAAAAAAGCGCCCTCTCTGTTTTACAAGCCTTCATTTGCTATTGTTTATGTAAACAGGTAAATTGTTTCGTATCTCAATTAAAAACATCTGCCACATAAATGAATACCAATTAACTCATCCTGTTTTTAATTACTCTGTTAATTACACACAGGCAGCAAAAAGGATGGCAGGGGAATAGGGAAAGCATGCTTACAACCCCCCTTCCCACCTTGCTCTTGGCAAGGATCCGAAATGTGCCCAGATAATGATGGATTAAGGTTGCTGGTGAAAACCGTGGCTCGTGGCCAGCTCCGGCGTGGCGGCTGCCTCCCGACCCAGCCGGGCGCTGCCGGGGTGCCTCGCGGGGGTATTTCCCGGCACCCCCCTGAGAGGCACCGCACCGCCCCATTTCGGAAACTCTGGGCCTCGCGGGACACGCCAACACCGCCTCCGTCATCCCCCATGCCACCGGTGGCCACGGCACAGCCTGCCTGGCTTTCCCGGCATGTTTGCTCTCCAAACGTGTCCTGGGGGAGAGAGAGCACAGGATGCTGAAGCACACGGGAAGGGCGGGAGGACGGAGGAGGCTTTGCGCGAGCAGCATCCTCATGGACCAAGCGCATCCTCGAGGCCCCCAGGAGCCCTCCTGCTGCCGAGGGTCAACACCTCCGCGCGGGCACAGCGGCACGGGGTTGATGCCATCCTCAAGCCGGGCCGGCAGCGACTGCCGAGGGACCCTGGGCGCCATCAGCCCCCCCAGCTGCGGGAAGCTTTCCAAGCGAGCAGATGGGGCAGGGGAGCGGCGGCAGCGAGGAGGAGAGCAGAAAAGGCTATTTTCTCACGCTACATATTTTACAAGTCGAACATTTTGTGCATTTCAGCCTTGCCTGTAAAAGCATCTCAGGCTCAGCCCCGGGACTCGACGTCGGAGCCTGTGACTCAATAGCGGCTGGCGGCAATGTGGCCGGTGTGGAGAGAGGCCGGGCAGCGGGGATCCCCCCATGCAGAGGGTCGGGCTGGGGGGTCCCCCAACCCACTGGTGCTGGAGGAGCGGCAGGGCGGCCAGCCCCCCCCCCGCCGAGCCCCCCAGCCCAGGCACAGCATCTGCTGCAAACGGTGCCGGTAGCATTGCACGCCGGTGCTGCCGTCCGACCTGTCCCGCCAGCAGCTCCGGGGCGGTGGGAGGAGGTGGGCAAGCACACGCCCTCACTGCTCCCCAGCTGCCTTACACTCCTGGAAATTAAATATACTGGCTAAACACTGCGAGTAAACAGAGTGTTCCTTGAGGGCCGGGAGAGGTTCAGGCTAAAACACCCCAATTTGACATGTTTGCCACGTGCACAGGGACGCTCATGCCCAGCGGTGGCCTTGATGGCTGGAGGGGGGACAAGTGCCACAAGCAGCCAGGGGACTCGGGGCATTTTGGAGGCAGGGAGCGGCTGGGGAAGGGAAAACATCCCCCTCCGCACGCCAGCGCCGGCGGGGAGCTCCGTGCGAGGTCCCTGCAGCGTGGGAACGCCGAGGCACTGCCGGCTCCCCAGGGACCCCGGGCTGGATCCTGCCCTGCAGACGCCAGGACGGTAACGGCTCCGAGGGGGAGCCCAATCCAGCCGCGCATCCCCACAGCCTCTGGGCTGCTGTGTTACTGACTCTTTGTCTGTTTTTTAACCGCAGGCTCCATTTCAAGGCGATTTTGCCCGTGTGAGATTGAATCAAACAACACAGGAAAAAATATTAATGAGAATTTTGCAAAATAAACAGGAAATCCCTTGGATGCTTTCTGGAAACATTGGTCAGCATCTTCCGAAGGAAAACTGCTTGTCAAGGTGGAGCTGCCCCTGGGGAGCCTGAGCGCGCTGGGAGGGACGGCAGAAAACAAGCTTCAGGAAATCTAAAAATAAACCCCAAACCGGGCAATGGCACTAACGCCAGCGGTGCCCGGGCAGGGGGGGTCTCCCCCGTGCCACCAGCCTGGTCTCGCCCCGCACCGGCCATCACGAAACCCACAAGGACTGGCCCCAGCTTGGGGACCCCTCCTTGTCCCCAGCCTGGTGGGGCAGCTTAATCCAGCTCCCGCCCATGGTCCGGCTTGGAAAGCACAAGCCAGGGCTGCAGCATCCGACCCGCATCCCCTCGACCCCAGCAGCAGTGTTTAAGCCCAGCTTTGCACCGAGCTCAGCTCCCTCCCAGGGCCCAGGCAGCCCCGTTAGCAGGATCTGCCCAAAACCTTGTGCACACTGTGCTGGTCTGGCCAGGGGCAGAAGCGGTGCCGGGGGCTGGTGCATTCCCCCCGCGGGGGCTCGGCTCCCTGCCCCACTGCCAGCACTCACACATGCCTCACCAGTAGCCCTGTGCCCCTGGCCAGCTCGCCAGCAACCAACTGACCCCCATTAAGAGATGTAATAACAGACATTTACGGGGTGCCTCGCCTCCCCGGGGGTCCCGCGGCACCCCGCGGCACCCCGCAGCACCCCACATCCCTTCCCCAGGCGGCTGCGGGCAGGGAGCCGCACCGCCTCTAGATCACGCCGGGGATTTAAGCCGGCTGCCAGCAGTGAGCGGAGCCGG